CTGTAGAAGCTGACATGCCTGCAGCAGTGGAGTTTCTGTTAGTGGAGCCCTGCCTCCAAGTCAGCTAACAGATGACATGGATGTCACGATTCCACAAGACAGCATTTCTGATTTATTGGCTGGGTTTACTTCTTTTCAAAATTCCACCCACACGTAGTAGCTATCCTAAAACACACAACTGAAGCTGCATGGCTTAGAGCTCCAGAGTATTCTGCAACCATATCTGCAGAATATCTCATACTGACCCTGCAGTGCCTGACCCATTTCTGTTTTTCTGTTTTCTGTCTCAGTCAGTGCACAGGACTGAACTGCTCTGGGACAATGCCTTGTGAATAGAAGAGACCCAGGAGCAGAAGTTCAAGTTAGAAGGTTACCAGTGTAAAATCCATTGTGCACATGAACTGTGGAGCAGCAGGCCACTGTCTCTGCCTTCGGGTTATCTTTGTTTCACCAAAGACAGCTGGTGATAGTTTCAGCCTGTCCTTCTGGCATGACTAAGCCACAGCCCCAGAGCCTCTGTGCCTTCCTTCTCAAGGGCTGTCACCATGTGTCTGTGCAGTGGGACTGCCACTCAATGGAACGCCATCACCAATTTGTGTTAGAGCTGTGTCACCTGGGCTGCCACCTCCTTCCACTGTGTGCAGAGCACGGACATGCACAGTGACTGTGCTTGTGCAGCCCAGCTCCCCTTCAACAACTTCCCAGCCAGACAGCTTGGCTTCAGTTTTTACTTAGCAACTGCCTCCCACCCGGAGAAACCTCCTCCTCCTGCTCTCAAATCAAGGCTCTCAACATACTTCTTAGTTTTGGTAAAGTAAATGGTGCTGCTGCTAAAGAATATTTTCACAAATCATGGAATGGTGCTCTAAGCTGATGCACCTTCTGGCTGTGATGCCACAGCCCAGTACAGTGAAACACTGCTGTAAATGACTTTTTTAAAAATAACCCAGGCAAACAAAATAAGAAACCCTGTGGGTGGCCTGAGTCACAAGAGTTGCTATGTACAACATGCATCAAAATGAAATATGGTCACTTTATTGTAAATAAAGTGCTTCTGCAATACCAAAATGAAGCAAAATCAAATAATTCAATGTAAAAGTTTGTGCCCAACCTACAATTTCAATGAACTAATGGAAAACAAATTTGTCATTTTTTTGACTGCTTCTAGCTGCAACTGTATAATGTTGTTTTTTCCAATTAAAGCTAAAAGAGAATTTTCAGTAAAGAAATTAAATCCCCAGCATAGAAACTGACTGGATTGTAGCAGGGCTCCAACATCCCTTCTCTCACTGAAAAATGTGGTTTGTGTTTTTTACCAGAAGTGGTCATGTTTTCTTTTTCAGATTTCCCTGAAAGAAACTGATTCTGCTTCCTAACATCATGACTGACCCCTGATTTAGCAATGACTCAGGAAGAAGTGTTCCCACTACTGACTCTCTGAATAAAGTCCTGCAGTCCTGCATTGCAGTTGCATATAAGCCTCCAGCCCTAACTCATCTTCACATTATTACAGTCCTGAGAGCTGAAATAAACCTGTCAGAAGGCAGCTGGGCACTGCATAAGTTTGCTGCCAATGCTGCTATTACAAACCAACATAATCTGCATCTAAGCTCATAATCTTAAGAAATTTGTTTCTCTTTTAGGTCACTGATTGACAAGAGCTTTAAGAAATAAAGCTGTAAACATGATTTAGCTGTTGCTTAGCTAGAAATGCAGAGTATTTACCTCTGTATCTGATTCTTGGTGGTTATCCATCAACCTTTGAACAACTGTTTCAACTATCTGGGGGTGTACAACTGAGACATTTTCTTGCTTTACCCTGTGTTTCCAGAGCTCTGCAGGGACAGAGGGAGAAAACAAAACAAACAAACAAAAAAAAATCCAGAATAAAACCACACATCAGAGGGTATCACTGTCACAAAATATCGATCCTTCAGTAATCCCTGGGATTTGACACTGGGTATGCTTTATAGCTTAGTGCTTCTCAGCTTTCCTAAAATGTTTACAGCAAAAAGTAAATGTCATTGCAAACAGATTGCAAAGCTTCTGTTGAGCAGCAATACCAAATTCATTCTGGTATCAAAGCCAAAATGCAATTTCATTACAGACCAGTTCTGTCAATAATGACCTGGCCCACAGTTGTATATTGGAGCTCTCTGTAAATATTGAGAAAAGAATATGGCTTTTCTTTGGAACTGAGCATTTATGTTCACTAATTACAACCACAAGGAGTCACAGTAGGTCACATTTTTCATACCTTTTATTTCCTCTTTTTCTTTGTTTTACAATCTGTGTCCATGAATACTCAAATTGCCCATATCTGTGCAGTAATTTTACTAACATGACATACCTAAAATACTAAAAATTCTGGCATTTAAATTGCTCTGCTAGACCTAACATATTAGCACTCCAACACAAAGGAGTAGAGAAGTAATTTCCTATCAGCCCAATTCAGCCTGCCTGCAAGCTCTAGTGGGGAGCTGAGAGCAAATGCATTGACACAAAGGACAAGGCTTTGCTGTCTTTATGCAGCAAGGCTCCTTTTCCCAAGGAAATTTATTAAGCTCCCATATTCCCCAGAGAGGGTATCTTAATTTTCCTGACAAGAGGGGAGAGCTACTCTTGCCAGACTCTTTCAGATGTCACTAGAGTCATCTTCTGATTTATTTTCTTCTGCACATCATGGATCATGTGGGTTTTGGGGCTTTCCAGAAGCTTTTACTTTATGCAGTTAATACAGCAACTTGCTAGCAAAAAGTAGCAGACAAAACCAAAGTAATTTTCTTGCTACAGAATTTCAGAATACAGAATTTTCCTATAGAATATCAAGGTTAATATGATTTGTGGGTGACTGTATGCCTAGGGCTGTGCCACAAACACTCTGGACAGGGCCAGGTTTCACTGCTGCTTTGGGCTCTCCCAGGACCCACACCTGGTGCCACATGGCAGAGGTGACATTGCAGAGCCTCCAGAGTCACTCACATCTGCCAGAGCTCCCCTCCTGAGAGACCCAGGGGCCCCTGCTGAACTTCACTTATCAAAACTTCCTCTTCATGCCTGTCTGGCTGTGGCTTTCATGGCTGGGCACAGTACACCTGCACTAGAATCACTGAGATGTGGATATTTCACACATTCTCTCTCCAAATTACTGTGTTTGCATTTCCTGACCTTGGACCTTGACTTTCCTTTGTCTTCCCCTGCCCCTGTCCCCAGTCCATGCAGAATGCGGTTAAGTCTCAGCTCACTGCCTCAGCCCCACTCGACCTACAAGTGGGTCAGGATTGTCTGTCTCTTCTTTGCTGGTCCTGCCTTACCACAAGGTTCAGTCTCTCCAAGTTAATAATAACACAAAACTAAATGTGAGGGGAAGAAACACAGGGGTCAAGCACATAAAACAGGGAAATTTGGTCACTGGTAAGAACATGTCTATCAAACACACCAAGAAGCTCTGTCCAGCTCCTATCCCTGCTCTCCCTGGTATCTGATGATGGCTTTGCTGAGTGCTTCTGAGCGCCAAGGCAGACAATCATTGTGCTCTTGGAAACAGGAGGCATTAGCAAGCCACATCCCTCGCTGCAGTTTATGGCTTTAATCAAGCAGCATTTTAAACACTTGATGGCATGACACAAAGGTCAGCAGAGAGCACAGAGAGAGAATTAGAGAGCTCTTATCTGTGAAAGGAGATGGATGGGGATCTGGAGGAGGGAAACAGCAGGATTTTTGGATCCAGTACATTTAGCAGATTGCCTGCTGTGAAAGAGCATAGCACTGCCCCAACATTGTTGCCTCCACACCTTGTGCTGCTACTCCTTGGCACCAGCCATGTAATGACCACCTCAGCTTCAGCAAAAGGCTGCTTTTACTGCTTCACTTAGGGTAAGGGTTGAAAGAAACACAAAGCCCAGAGCTCCAGGAGCACTGGAACTACAGAAAGCATGCCAAGGTCAGCACGGCACTGCCCCAGTGTTGCTCCCTTCGCACCTTGCTCCATGGAACCACCCAGCTGCTGAGCACCTCAGCCTTAGCAAAGGGCTCCACGTAAGGTCAGGGTTTAAAAGCCCATACAGCTTAGACCTTCAGGGAGACTGGAACTATAAAAGGCATGGCACTACCCCAACACTTCTCTCTCCTGTCTTGGTTTAAAAGACAGGTGTCTGCCAAGGAAAGTGGGAACCATCCTGAAACGGACCATATGACCCCCTTTCCTCCAAATTATTACAATTACCAATTTATGGGGCTTTCAGCTAAACATATAGGAAAAGGAATGACAGCTTTTTCCTAGTTTGTAGTGTATAACAAGGCAAAAAACCCAGCAACAACAGCAGCGGCACAAACAGAGCCCCAAACCCGGTCCCAGCGCTCGCCTGCGGCAGGTGCTCTCCCTTCGCTGCAGTTCCGATTCTGGCCAGCGGGGGCGCTGCTGGCTCCCGGCCGGGCAGGGCGGCTGCGGTGACTCCCCTGTGCCGGCAGGGGGCGCTGCGGCCCGAGCGCGGCCACCTCACACCGGCGGTAATGGCAGCTCAGTTGTGAGGGAGAAAGAGAGCATGGCTCACTTTGCAAACTCATGGGGTGCAGCCGGCTTCAGTGCCACTCCCGGTGGTTAAAGAGACTGCAGCAGAAACCTCAGAGTGGCAGCTGAAACAGCAGAGGTGAGCAGACCCCTGGGGCTGTGAATTGAATTGTAGCACTGACCCCAAATCGGTGGCAGAAGCAGAAATAGCTGGGGGTCCTGGTAGACAAGGACATCAGGCTAAAGTGTCGCAAAAACCCCAAAGCAGAGCAGCGGGGCTGGGCAAGGGATTGCTACTTTTCATAGCTCACCATGATGGTTTGTGGAGGGATAGAAAGTAAGAAAATAGTGCAGAAGGCAGTCTCACACCTGAGGAGTTGCAGCTGTACCAATCACCAAAGATTAGGAGCAGGCCTGCCCTTAATAGGCCACAGCTGTGTCCAATAAGAAGATGAGTGCTACAGAAGAGTGGGTTAGCTGGGTGAGGAGAGAGTTGGAGTTTGTTGGTTGTGCTGTGAGGAAGAGTCAGAGCTGCAAGGAGCTACCCATGAGAAATCACAGAGAAGGTATGGGACTTCTGCAGTATGATGACAACAATGGTTGGTCCTGGTGATGCTGCTTGGGTTTTTTGCCTTTTTTCCTTTTGTATTTCCTCTGTATTCTTTGCACGTGCATTTATAGCTCTGTAGCCTACTGTATTAGTGACTCGTTTTCCCAGTAATTGTCTGTGGCCTTTCCCTAGGCAGAAAACCAAAACAAATTCCAGAACTCCCAGCTTCATGGGGTACAAGGCCGCAGTGCTGTCTTGGTTCTTCCTGGGAGCCAAGGCTGAGAACAGCTCTTCAAGACACATTTCACGGGCAAAGTACACCTATGCCAAAGGGGGGACTCCAGAGAAGGGGCTTGACATGGGGGGGGAGTTGCATCAGCACTTGTCCTCCTAACTGATGCTTTTTATCTACTATGTTAATTTCCTACAACCTATGAAAATGTACTCATCCCTGCAGGATGGGCTTTTGTGGGCATGTCTCCATAACTGCCCCTAAAGACATTAAAATAAAGATCTGCTCTTACGTTGCCTCCTTTCTAAAAGCATTTTGAGTTTCGTTTCCAAGTTGGGAAAAAGGCAACGCTGGGGTTGGGCTGCCAGGCAGAGGCTGCTGCAAAGGGAGGGACAAAGCCTTGGTCCTCTTGATTTTTAGGTAGAAATGAAAGTAAATAGAAATGAAGGGTCCTTTAGGTTAAATGTCACATGTAAGTTAACCAAAACCAAGCCAAATTTTCCAAGTTTCTAATTTTTTTCCAGCCCACCAGTTTGTGTAGTATTTTCCCTGCCCCTGTGCACACTGAAATTTTCAGCTAGGCCCTTTTTGACCTCTTGACTTATTTCTGCAGAAATATGTAAGGCAGAGAACAGGAGGGATGTGGCACCTGGTGGGAGCTGGGAGAAAGGACAGTGGGGGAAGGCTGACTGTGTCTGTTTGAGTAAGTGTAAACACTGAGGAAAGCAGTTGTAAGAGGCGCTGGGGAAGCAGTTTCTTAATCAGAAGCTTTTACATTAGATGGAATGGTGACAGCTGGGAGTGATACCCAGAACCTCAACAAAACCCAGTGGCTGAACTTGCTCTGGGATCCCCAGTGCCATCCCAGCAAGGTCTTATTTGGTCTCTGGGAGAAGCTGTGACCCAAGAATTAAAAATATTTGCTACTTTGGGGGGTTTACTTGGGGACAGTCATCTGAAAGGTTTTATTTGTGCCTTTGTCTTGTCTGCAGGCTGCTCTCAGAGTTCCTCACCTAAGCCTAGAAATGGTGGATGCATTTTACCATGTAGTTTTGTATATCCTGGCCTTTGCTCAGTTAGGAAATTCCCCAAACTGCTTTTGTGTCTTAAATCCTGACCCCAGACTGGGAAGTGACCAAAAGGATTGAAAAGTGACCCATATTGAGTGCTTAAGCAGTTGGTTCCAGGTGCTAAAGAGTGTAAAATGCTGATAGTGAGAAAGGGGGAAAAAGGAGGAAATTGATGTCAAGTGAAGAATAAAGTCAAGATGAAATTTTATCCTTTTTGTTTTCTTTTTCCTTTTGCATTTTACTTGAGGAAGGCTGTTGTGTTTCCACAGCATCACAGATCTGTCATGATGTCACAGAAAAACAATGCACCCACCAGGCCTGGGAGGTCTGCTCCTGCAGGGAATAGAAAACATGGTCCAAAAATTGTTCTTCCACCTTTAGCAAGCACCTGTTAAGCCATCTGATCAGCCTATGACGAGTTTCTCTTCACCAGAAGGTTTGAAATGGCAGGCTGGGGTTGCTGTAGCGAATGTGTCATTTCCTTTCCAAAGGCTGAAACAGCTGAGGAGTGTGTCATCCTGCAAGGAGACAGATAGGACTGGTTTCCCTAAGAGCTTTGGCTTGCTATTCAAGTCAAACGACTGCAGGGCTAGGATTTGCCTGCCTTTCCTTTAGCAGGTACCAGGGAGGGGGTGTGTGACATCTCCCCACTGGTTTGGTACCTCTGCTGTCACGGGACACCTCTGCAGGACACTCTGACAAAGTAAGGCACCTTCAGCCAAAACGTGTTCATTGTGAGTGAGATGGAAGTCCCTTTGGAGGTGCCTGAGATTGCAGGAGCCCAATTAAACTTGATGTATGATAATTAGGCAGCCAAGGACAGTCAGATAATCCCACCCCAAGTACTGAAGTACTCTTTTGGCATTCTGCTTTTCAGCCCCTGGAGTATTCTCGCAGTATAAGGAGCTGGAATTTCAAACCATGGCATTTTATGCATACCATCTTCTCTGTGGGTGTGAGTGCTGTGTCTGGGCTGTTTTCCTGTCACTAGGAAATGCCCCTCTTTGCATTATCTGTACATTTGGTGCTGCTCACAGGAGTATAAAGTTTCTCTGCACAGCTTTCCTTTTGTCCTGGCATCTGTTACAAAATGAAAAATTTATCACAACAGTTTAATAAAAACAATAAATTCTTCAATAATTAGTTAAAATATATAAAAGACCAGCTTGGTCTTTTAATATCTCCAGATTTTATCCTTTATGTATTTTTCTTCTTATGTGAGTAAGATTTTTATTATCAGTTCTGAGTTTATCTTCCTGAATTTTCATTTTGGAAGGAAGAAAGGAGTCAGTGAATCATAAATACTTGTTACAGCTTTTATTTTACTACTGTGCTTATGAATGTTTGATGTTTGAAGTGGGTTTATTTTCTCTGACAAAAAGCCCTTCCTGTTCTGTGGTGTGCACTCATTGTGCAATCAAGTGCATATCAGTAACTTCATTTGTATATGACTGAGAAAGCTCACGTAAATTAGCATGCATAATGAGCTTTGAAACAATCAAAAAGGCTGAGCTCAATGATCAGTGAGAAACCACATAACCAGATGTAGGAGGAATACATCTAACATGTGCCTAGCTACTACACTTTTAAAACAGAAAATATGGGTAATGCTCTGCTTCTCTGTAACACTTTTTGTAACAATTTTGTGCAGAGTTTTACTCCATTGCTCATAACCAAGAGATCTTTCTGGTGGCTGCTGCTGAGGAATAATTTCCCTCTCCTCCAAATCAGATCATTTAACTTCCCTGAATGATGGCAGGCCCTCCAGTCTGACAGAGGGAACATTGGGTTTCTATAACAGGTAGTTCTGAGTTAAATCACTTCTGCCAGGGCTGTCTTGGGAGCCTGTCAAGCCCTGTGTGCACACTTCCTGCAAGCACCAAGAAAGAGCAGGTGCTCTTGCAAGGATAATGACTTGCACAGAACCATTGCTTTGAGAAGTTTTCCCTACGCTTAGAGGGAATAAAAAACTTTGGAGCCTCAGTAGGAAAATATTCTGCAGCTTGCATGATTGAGCTGAAAAAAATATTTCATTAAGAAACTGTTGGAAGTGTTGTCCTTCTCATCCCTAATCAAGTAGTATCTAGTTTAGGTCTTTGGAGTAAGCAAAATGCCATCTCTGAACATGATTCTGCTTGTGTCTGACAAACCTAATCTTAACATGATAGTTAGGAGAATTTTTACCACCATCCTTGCTTGGATTTTATAATGTTTAACTTTTTAATGGGAAAGGCCAGTGAAAGAATCATTCTTTTGAGTTGCCTGCAACTTTCTATTACTATGCCTTTTCCTCCCTGACTTTACTGCATCCACATAATTCTCCACCTGCCACAATCTCTATTCTTAAAGCTTGGTTTTGTAATGTTGAGGGGGTTCTAAACAGATTCTTCTGCATCACTGGGGAGGATGAAAAATTGAGAAAGTCCTGAATACAAAACCTCTGGAGGGAAAATGAGTTTACAAAACTGACATATTTTTATGTGCAGTTTCTGACACCTTACCTGATAAATTTACTTTTCTTGGGATTGCAGGGACTGAACTTCAAGACACACAGAAAATTCTTACAGCTTCCAGAATCTACTGGATCTCAGCAGAGTATCCCAGCTCCTAGCCATTTACAGAGGAGTGGTGTTTCTGCAGTTCAATGCAGCAATCAGGCATCAATTATGGTAGGAATTACAACTTGTTGGGGATGGGACTGGCACCTTTTTTGATAAAGAGATGCTTTTTTCAGTTGTTCACAAAGAAAAAAAAATGTAGGAAAGATTAATTTAAATTTTGTCCATGGTGTCTGTTCCAAGATCATGGTATGTGCCTTCTAAGTGTGCCTTCTAATGTGCTTTCACTTAAAAGCATTAATTTTATTTAACCAAAAGTGCTGAAGATCCTTACATGCCTCACTGAGGGAAATCTACAGATCATGTTGGTACAGCTGTCCTATTACCTGAGCATTATATCACCTTTATGTTCTGATTCATAATTCATTACATCAGATAGGTTGGTGGCTGCCACAGAGGTTGACTTATGAGTTAATATTTTTTTTTTTTGTAGGATCTATGTCTAATCTTATAATCTCTTTTATCGAAGTATGCTAATAAGCGTACTTATTAAGGTAGAGAACTTACCCACTTATAGCAACTTCAAAATAAGAGGCTACATAAAAAGGGGAATACTTGCTCAAAAAAAAATCAGAAGGCTTAGCTGGGGGAATTCAGTGCTGGCAGATGGCAGGGGGACCTTTTGGGGACATACTGGAAGCATTCAAGAAATGCATACCACATGTGAAGAAAGCCCTAAGAAGGGGTGAGAGGATGCTGGCATTGCTTAACAGCAGGATTAAACAGTTTATTAAAGCAAGAAGGCATACTTGAAAAAGTTGAACTTTCTTTCAAAGGAAGAGTTCAGTGTGTTGGTAAAATGATGCCCCTGGGGGAAAGAAACCAATCCCAATATATAAAATTACAGCCTCTGACTTGATCATTACATGTCAGTGCATTCACCATGCAATACCAAAATCTCAAAATTACAACAGATAATTCTGTCAAAATTTCATCTCAGTGGTGATAAAAAGAAAATAAAATTGATTCCCTTTCAGTAAAAACAAAATCATAAGAACACCACCACTGGATAAATCTGTGCTGACAAGCCTACGCAGTTCTGGTCTCCACCTGAGGAGGGAGAGAGAACTCTGGAAGGTTCCCAAAGAGCCACATGGATGGTGAAAGGTTGCTGGGTGGAACAAGAGGTACAACTGGGAGCCTTGTAAAATTGTCAGTCAAGGTGAGGGGATAAACAAGGAGTGTTTGCTCACAGTCTTTTCCAGTCTAAGGTGCGAAGGTGAGCAGCAGATATCCAGCTCTCAACAACAATAACAACAACAATAAGGTGTTTCTTGCACATAGCCTGTAATTAGGCTGTGGGATTTCTTCCTGCATTGTGCCGCAGGTGGTGAAAGTTTATAGGACTCAGAGGGAGCCTGCACAGGCTCATGGAAAAAAAATTACCAAGATTAAACATTCAGCAGTCATGTCTGGCTGAGAAAATGCCTGAGGAGGCCGTGAGAACATCAGTGGGAAATACCATCATATGCTTGTTCTGGAGATTTTTGTAATCTTCTCAAGAGTCTGCTTTTGATCACTGTGGGAGGCAGGACTCTGAGCTGATGGACCTTTGCTCTGACCCAGTATGATCATGCTTGTGCTATCCAGTGGAGTTGCATGTAATTGTAGACTGAGGACTTTTCTGCAGATTTGCATGGAGATAAAACTATGTCGTGCTTTTATTTCTATTTTTCTCTGCTGAAACTGCTACAAAGGCAATTCGTGAGGAAAATGTTTTCCTCAAATAAGGAGTTGTGTGTTAATAGGAAGTAAGAAAAAATGCAAATATCAGATAACTCATCTTTCTTATTCCTTGTTGCCAGTGCAGTTTCCATTTTCTTCACACCAGGGCTTAGTGTGACACTAAATCACATTTAACCTCATTTGAACTTCTCTGCCAAGTTCAATCCCAGAAGCTGTTATTTGCCCCTGTAATTTTCTTGCTAGTACTGCAACTGATATAAGCTCCAGTTCACTTTAAAAATCACTTGTGTGTGTTTGACAAAAACGAAGAACAAGATCCTTGCCTCAGAATTGCCTTTCAAAGTAGGATGTGCAGCTACAGAAAAAGTTGTAGCGTAGATTGCTTTTTGTATTGCAAAAACTGATCAAACAGAGACTCTTTTTTAAAAAAGCATGAGAATAAAGTACAGAAGAATTGAGAGTGACAAAGAGGCTGCAATGAAATGACAAAGTCATGTCTAAACTTGGTTGAGTAGTGTATTTTCAAGATGCATATGGAGTTCAATAAAAGCTTTATGTGTGGCATTGCACAGCACAGTGCAACCCAAGCATGAGTCAGCTGGGTCTTGGAAGTGTGTGTACAATTGTATTGGAAGAGGACTTAAATGATTTAGCTGATGTGCCCTCCATTTCTGTGTGAGTCCAGGTCTCATGGAAATCAGTGCAGAGTGCTCCTGCTAAACCTGGCTCTGGACTCCCAACTCCAAGAGTCCTGTCATTTAGTTTCCAAAGTTTCACAGGCACTTGTGAAAGCTTTGGATAGCTTTAGTAGCTCTCCTGCTCTGTATAGGAAATAATCTTAATACCAGAAACAGGAGGCAGTAGAGCTCCTGAATTATTATCCAGTCAATTGCTACGGTAACATTCCTCTCAGACATATGTTTTGCTGTAAATGTCCCCAGTCAGAGTCACTTTCAAATATGCATCTAGGTCACTAATATTTGTGTCTATTTGTTTTTATCAAGTCTGCCACTATCCCTCTTAGTTGCCACCATGTTGGGTTAAAATGAAGTGCAGGTAATTTTGTTACAGAGCATTTGGAGAATTTTGAAGTCACCTTACTTCCTTTTTTATTACAAACATTTTGATGTCTTTTCCGAGAGACATTTTAGTCCCCAGGGTATGTTTCAGCCTGCCGAGTGTTACACACAGGGTGCACCATGAACTGCCTCTCCTGAGTAACTCTGTGATTCAGAGAACATTTGCTTTACAGCTATGACTCCCACAGCTCCTGGATGCTCAAAGCTGCAGGGTGAGTAAAGCCTATCCTCAGAGGCACTCTTCCTTCCTCCATTTGCCTTGAGCTCCTCGGAGAACAAGGTCCTCTGCACTGCTTTCTCCTTCCCTAACGTGGGCCAAAGAACCTAACCATTAACAGCTAATTCAAGAAAATCCCATGATCACAGCTTATTAACTTGATTCTCCATCAGGAGTTCTAGAAAGCATTCTCTAGGTTATATAGAGAATAATAAGAATCTGAGACAGAATGTAATCATACTGATGTCACCAAAATGGAATTATTATTACCTGCATGACAGATATTGGCGTTTCTACTAACTTTCAGTTTTGGTTAATTACCCTTCTGAGCTCTCTTACTGCCTGGCAGCAGTTTTGATTGATCAACATGTCTGTCATGGTGGTGTACCACATATTTAGGTGGAGTGGTTTTCTCAGATATAGCATCAAATGGAGTTATATAATGCCAAAATACACACCTATGTGCTCAAAGGCACCTTGAATCACACTGGCAAAAAAACCTGGTGTCTTGTTAGGGAAAGTAAAGATGAGTCTTGCTGGCAATACTAATATGTTCCAAGCTAATAGACAGCTTTAAGTAATCATTCTCACTTCATGTTTCTTCATTTTAGTGCCATTCTGCTAAGTATCCAATGCTAGATACTATGATTTCACCTCTAATTATGCCTTTCCCAAACAATGATTTATAGGAATACAATTTTCTGCCTTGATTTAGGTCCAATGACACGTAGTACCTACTTAGCATAACTGAGAAACAGGATTTATACTGGCATATAAAATCTGGACAGCTTTGGTGAATAAGATGTCCTGATGCCTCTGAGGTTGGACCAGCAATAAGTGATTGACAGTGGCTCGGTGAAGACATGGGAACTATTCCATGGAAGGAGTAGTCCAGCATCTTGGTAGGACACATATTCTGGAATTAATTTTATTGGGTTTTTTTCACAAGGATTGATAACAGATGCTTCTTTCTTTTCTTGTACCTGTCCTACCTTCAAAGTCAGAGCACAGTGTACCACATATCAAATATCAGTGTGGCCTCTGAGTTGCCTTTTCCTCATCATATTAGATGGGACTCCCATAACTAATTGAATGTTGTTCTTATTTACAAAAGTAATCTCTATTTTTTTAGGCACACATACATTTACCTGGATGATATTCCTAATGGATGGAGGATTTTTTCCAGTCACTATCAACAGTGCAATTAATTTAAATTACAACATACAAGTACAGCGAGACAGTAGCCTTGTACTTATGTCCAAAGACAAAAAGACAAGATGATTCTATGACACAGGAAAGTAAACTAGGACTATCTTTTTTCCTGTCTTTGTTTAAAGGACCGAAGTGAAAAAATCTCCCCCCTTTCTGTCCAAAGCCCCTTTTACCATTTGCATCACATCTGATATTTCTTCAGGAAGAAAAGAGCATTTTTATTGATAGGTAACCTACACCTATCATTTTTCTAGTGTGCTAGAGCTAGACAATTTTTATGTATGTGCATATGTGTTTTAGAAGCATGGTGCTAAGAACTTGAAACCCATTTGTGTTTGTAACACAAAGACCCCTGAGCTGACAGTATGAGATTTGCTATTGCTGGTGAAGCTCTGACAGCAGACCTTCAGAGACCTTGCCTTCCTCCCCAGCTGTGCCTGTGCAGCCTGAAGAGTTGCTCATGCAGAGCTGGTGGTGATGTACTTTCTCCTGGAGGGTGTCCTGCAGCCATGGCCATGCTGTGAAGGGGCATGCTGTCTGTCAGGCCTGGTTAGCTCAGAGCAAGCTGGTGTCTCTGACAGCTCAGTTTATTTGGGTCTGTACAAATTCTGTGTAGGTCTCCTCTTAATATCTGCAACCAAATCTCTGTGAACATAAGTGACCTAGATCTGAGTTGTGGCCTCACCTACTCCTGGCCAGCTGGTAAGAAGCAAAGGGAACAGTGTTGTCTCATAAACCCTGAGTAGTCTCAAGAGAAGCCCTAGTGGCAGATGCCCTTTGAAAACCTGTTGGTATCTCCAGACTTGTGGAGAAAGCAGAGACCCCATACTCCACCAAAAGACCGGCTCTTTCTTGTCAAGAGCTACTCAGCACTAAGGGAAGAAGAACAGGCTGGTCACTGTCTAAAACCAAGTGAAGGAGAGGGAAGGTACTTCCAGGCTGTGCTTCACCAAGTACTTTTATTCGGGATGTGTTTGTGAGGAGTGGCTCCTAGGGGCGCCTAAGTCAACCAGAAACTACATAAAGATTTGGTTCAAGGAATGGGGAGAGATTCAAACTGTTTGTGATGGAAAACAAATGCTAAGATCCATCTTTAAAGTAAAATGAGTGGCAGATTTTTGTAACGGCACTTTTCACAGCGACCAAGCAGAGATGGTGTTGATGGAATCCACTCGGGGAAAGCAGCGATAAAACAAAGGATTTAACTTCTTTATTTTATCCCTATCTCTGCTGTGTTTTGAGTTCCCACTGCAGTCAAAAAATAGGCCCTTTTCCCCTGTACCATGCTCTGAACAATCTTGGTGTAAGGCTGCAATTGCACAATAACCTGTTGCATGTCTTGTCTCATTGCACATCTCATGAGATGATCTCAAGCAAAGAATTCATTTCCTTGTGACTTCCAGTACAATGTGGCAGAAATGCTTGACTCAAGTACTAGCTGGTTGCAAGATGGCTAAAAGGCATGCAAACATTTGCTGAGGGTTCATGATCTGATTGTATCACTTAAATTGCTGAGACCTTTTCTGACACTGTGGAGGCAACATTAAAGGCAGAATGGGGCCCACTGAAGCTGAGGACTGAGTATCAATACAATTCTTCTCTACAAAGAATTTTGTGAGCCATGAGGATGCAAGAATATTCCAGAGAGACTGAAAAGATAAAAAATAAGAAAAGTCTCTGCCTTGTCCATGCATTTTCCTCCTGTCTTCCTCTTTTACTTTCCTTTTTTTTTTTTAATTTCTGCCTTTCTTTACTTTTGCTTATTATTAGCTAAGTAGTTTTGCTTTTCTCTAAAGGCCTGAGGGTTACCTTCTGCTTCAATACAGTTGTTTTTTTCCCCCTTTGAATATCAGTTCAGCCTGTTTGCTGATGCTGTATTCTAAGTGCATTCTTCTCAGTCATGTGAACCACCCCTGTAATTCAGGTTCTATAAACAATGTTAAATACAGTACTTTAATAAATGGAAAATTGGGAAGTCCATTAGATGAATTGTAGCAGAATTCTTCTTAACCCTCCCACTTGGCTCAACTTCGAGCAGTCAAGAATAGAAATTTGAAAGATTGCCATCAGAGAGGTTCTTCTGAAAGCAGAAAATGAAACATTGCCTTTTAAAAAGCCTTGTCCCCAGAAACCATGAGAAAGGAAATGAAAGTGCAAGATGACACAGTGAGGGTGAAATCTGTGCACGTAGGCACTGAAAAACACTGTTGTCATGCAATGGGTCAGGGAAGAAACAATGGTCAGTGGATATGTCCCTATCAGGACAAGGTATTTTATATTGCCAAGTCTGAATCCATCACAGAAAATTTGTGTGTGTGCGTAAAGAGCTCATATCAGATTTGCTCCATTCTGGTCTCCAGGTATCTGTATCCCAGTGGTATCTCCCATGCATTACTACCAGAGTGGAGGACATTCAGTAAAATCCTGGGAGCCCACGGTCTTTCCCTCTAATTAAT